AGAAATCTGATCCTGACTGTTCGAGTGGTTCCAGTAAGGCCAGTAGCTGATAAACGGGAAGGAAAGATGATCCTCTGGTAACATCATCATTATCAGGTCTGCAGGCTTTGGCTGCTACGTGATTCAAGTGTCTGGAATCGATGCACTCTGAATACTTTGTTCATATTTAGACGCACACATACATCACCTAATTAATCTTTCAGGTTGTGCTTGTCCGTAAATAGGAAAGTATGTTCGTCAGATTACCTCCTGGCTAATACAGATAAGTAACACTTCCAGCTACGTTTAGCTGACGTGAATGAGACTTAACGGGTTGTCAAAAAGCCCAACGATCCAGTTTTGACGTCCTATGGGCCTCGACAGCCTGCAGCCGCTTCAGAAACTAGGTAAAAAGTTCAAATTTACTTAAAAAGTTGCACATGTCTAAATATTTCAGGTTTCCGTTTAAAAACTGCTCATCTGGTGATTTACATGTAAAAGTTTAGGTACAGAGAGTGGACTTTATTACTTATTTGCATAATCCTGTCCAAGTTTAGATGTTTGCATGGATGTTTTTGACATGCAAATCACCAAATCAAAACTCACTGGGGTGTTTTTGGATCAACCACCTCCTTTGTGTTTCTGCCCATCAACTGCTGTCTCGGCTTACTGCGGATAATGATGAATTATGACAAGTGATGGAAACCATCTCTGAAATGTTTACTTGTTAACCATGAATCCTTTTGTTTACTTTAATTGCTGCAATAAAGTCCAATTTTACAGCTTTTTATCTCTGCTTGATTCTTTCTTGATCATGCCACATTTCATCTATTGTCAGGTATTTATGGAATATATACCTGACAAGCACTCATTTGTCATTTCATTTTTTTGTGTGTGTGTGTTTTTGTCACTTTTCCAACTCAACATTGGATCGAATAAAGGATGCAAGTCCTTGATTGAGTTTATATAACTGCTTCTCCAGACTTTTGTAACCTTTAGCATAATCTATTCCTGTCTGTTTCAGGTAAAAATGCAGACAAACAGGTCGTCTGCCAGACTCACAGAGAGAGAGAGAGAGGCGGGAGGTGAGCTAAAGGGAAGGCAGATCTGCTGGCAAAGAGAAAGAATAACAGGAGGTGTCTAGGTGCTTTTACTGTCTGAGTTATGACCAGCACTAATGCGATAACCATACATTACACACACACGCAGACACACACATGTTGTATGCATTAGGACCAGGAAATGCTGAGCCGAGTCTCTGCGGGGTCAGATGTGTGTGTAACGTGCGTGTGCCAGGCCGGCACAGACACGGCACACACATGACTTATTCCTCCCTAATGCTGGCACATTAGCTGCCCGATCCGCTTCTAATGCGCCATTAGGGATGCCGTACATGCAGGGTCACACCTCGCAGTGAGATGATGTCATACTTTACATGTGGGCTCACGGGAGATATCAGGTCCGATCACACACAGATACAGAGGTACTGACGTGTTCACTCATACACACGTCCTTTAGGGAGCGTTTCTTCTCTTGCTAAAAACGCGGCCAGATAGTGTTAGTACTTGAGGCTTCAGATTTTATTTCTTCTCATGGGTGGTGAGGTGGTGTCAACAAAGATATGTGTGACACACACACGGATTTAGAGTAGTTTCAAATATGTGTGTTCATGCATCACCACAATTACTCATAATGGTGATGTTGATGACATGACCTCAGTTATGTACGACATCATCAAAAGGAGTTGCATAGCAATGTCAGCTGAGTGAGTCACCAGAGGAAGTCACCACTCTTACAAGGGTGACACATACTGGTCAACCTTTAAAACCATTAAAACCATGAACACCCAAAACCTGAACTTAAGGAAAAGAGAGAGACGTGTCTGTGTCGAATGATCCAACAAAAGGAAAATATGCTTCCCAAATAACCGTTTACCAAGAAAAGAAATGTGTGAACTGCACCAATTCACTTCCATTACGACACTGAAGCATCACCTGTTCATGGCTCTACCTTATAACATATACCACCATCATTGAGGTGACTGTTGTTGTGATTTGGCTCTAAGTAAGACTGAATTGAAGTGAATTTGTGGACTTTACTTTTGAAGCCTCGAGTTGAGCGTCGCGTCACACCATGAGGGAGGAAGAGGCAGAAACACTGCATTCTCGGGTCCACCCTAAAGCAAACCCAGACTTATCATCTTTTTTACTCTAGCAGGGAAGATAATTTTCAAAAAAACTTAATGAAACTTAATAGAAAAGTTTTTACTGAGGTAAAACATCGAGTGAGGACTGAGCAATCACTCACACAGATGACGAGCAGTGGGTGGGTGATGTGCACATGCAAAATTTGGCCCTTGATTTTACAAAATGTATCTTTACCCCAGATAAGAAGCAAGATTATTATCTGAACAAATATAACCTTAAAATGGCGATCTGATGGGGAATTCTCATAACTATTCTTCAGGTTTTATGAATTAAAACCAGGTTAATGTTAAAAACGATGGAAACCACTATAGAAAAGTCGCTGACTTTTCAAAATAAAATGACACTCGTGATGTTGAAAACACAGCCTACTGTATGTGTCTTCAGGCGTAACGGTCCATATGTGCGTCTTTGTGTACAGAAAGTGTACGTGCACGTACATATGGCTGGATGTTGAAGAGATCACAGTGACACAAACTGGCAGCTGAATATTGCTGTGTGTTTGTGTGTGTGTGTGTGTGTGTGTGTGTGTTTGTGTGTGTGTAGCCAACAAAATCCCCTGAATGTTCACTGAACAATTATCGAATCGGCTGTCCACTGGTAATCCTCTCACACACTCCACTGCCCCGTCTGTTTGTCTGTCCGTCTGTCTTCTTTTTAGGCCTGGAAACAAACTCCTATAACTTCGATAAATGGGCTGATCGATTCTCAGGATGAGCAGCCAAGACTGTGGTGTGTGTACACGTGTGTGTGTCTGCATGTGTGTGGCTCTGGTGCCAACCGAAACACCCCCACTATATTCCATCGCCCAAACTTATCTCGCTCACCCGCTCACATGCACATACTCGCCATCATTATAACCATTTTCATATTGTTCTCTTATGTATCCAGCATCGCACTAACAGATAAGACAAATCCCCATGCAGTCCCTCCCTCTCTCTCTCTCTCCCTCTCTCTTTGGTGAGCAGCAATAATGAAGTCTCAGTTTGATCGACCACACGACTACAAAATGATGAATTACCCAGCGACGGCCACACACATGCATCACACGCACAAAGACACACTCACACACAGAAGCAGATACAAGCATGTGCGATGAACCTTGATCTAAAGTGGGAGCACTGACGGTATAACACAGTTAATAACAAAGAAAGTACAGACTGTATTCAAATAAAGTCTGGCTTTAAAAGCTTTCTGTCATCAGAATGATCTCTTTCTTTTTTTTGTAAATTGGCTCCACAGTGCTGTAAGCCTCAGAGAAATGCATGAACAGAGGTGAGGGGGAGATGGGATTGTACACTTGTTTTTCTCAGACTTTTGTCAATCATTGTCTAATTTCAAAAGTGATCTGAACTCATTTGCCATGTTTTTCACCCTTTACCCTGTGCCTGAAGAAACTGTGACATGTCCCTTGGTGAACAGACGCTTATTATCTTAAACCTCACTTCTCATGCTCCCGAAGAACTTCATCTTGATCTCACCACGACAGAAAATCTCTGGGAGATGCTTCATGTTTGGCTTTGATTAATTCTTTATCATCTGTTGCTTCAGTGTGACACCTGATCAATGCATGGCATTACTTTGGTTGCTCTGATTGTAGCTTTATATAAAAATATTTTCCATGGCTTCAATAATGAGCCTGACCAGTTTTGATGGGAGTAAAAAAATAAAATAAAATAAAATAAAAAAAACAGGCCAAGAAAAAAAAATACTTTATAGTGCTTTGGGGTCAGATGTGATAATATTTGGTTCTAAAGGTATTTATGGATACATTTATTTGCTCGGCGTGCTCATTTGTTTTTTTTTAACTGACAAACTTAAGCCAAAAAAAGAAAATATGTCAACTAAGGCCGAGATAAGGCAAGATTGTTCAACTCCCCCTTTAAATATTTCACTTTTCATCACTTTTCTCATGAAGAGTTTTTTGGATTAAGGAATGCACACCTGCTATGTGCAAGAAGAAGAAACAGAAGAAAAAACTTAATTAGCATCCAGTGTTGCCAGTTAGTTAAGTGGCAATTTTGTCACATTACCAGCATATTTTGCAGAAAGCTTCAACTCAAACACAGCAGATTTTTCAGTGTGGTCTAAGTTTATTAATCCCCCCCTTTTCGATTTCATGTGAAACACAACAAAACAAGCTGGAAGCATTATGTATTACATGTTAGCAGGGCGTGTCTCTTGCTCACAAATTAAGCAGAAAGTCCGATTATGCTTGAAAAAGTGAGTCAGTCACTTCTCTGACTCAGCCTTTACCAGAAGCTCCTACTAACATCACTTATGGTATTGCACGCTTCAGGTTGCGAACCTCATTTCCTGCACAGATTTTTCTGCAGCACTTATTGCATTTATAGTAAGCTGAAACAGGACAGGCCTGCTCAGAAAAGCTTTTAAAAGAGTTAAATCTTCTCTGATGGGCTGGCTTCATTCCTCATCTCCATCCCTGACTGCGATAACTTTTTGCACAATGTATGCTGTATTTATGTTAAGCCTTAAAAATGCAAAACACATTTTCAATCTGCCCAGTGCAACACAACAAACAACAAATGGACCATAGGTAATGAGTTACACTGAACTATCTTAAAACTGCCTGCATACGCAGACCATTAAAGAGGTGCCTGTTTAACCAGTGCAAAAATATACTGAAATTAACTGTTCCTATTCTTGAGAAGTATTGAACCATTGGCGTCATGGACCAGGAGAGTGACTCACAACTCACAACTCACAACAGTGAGCTGCATAATATCCCATTGTTTGGGTTGTAAATGGATTTAAATGTATTCTTTAAAGCAGTGACTTGAAAAACTTGTCCAAATAACAATCATACTACTATATCACCCATGATTAAATGGTTAAGACAAAATGTTGATGGTCATACCCCTACAGCTGCGATCCATCCTCAGACAAGACTATGAATATTTGTGCACGGTGAATATAGTATAGGTTTGAGTAGGGAAATAGCATGGTTATGGGATAAAGCGAAGATAGAGTTAGGCGGCAATGTTAAGAACAGATTGTTGCTACCGTAGATTACATGGACAAAAGTACTGGGCTGCACCTCTTAGATCCTACATCTGAATTACATTTAATTTTAGATGTTTTTCGGTCCATTGTCACTGCTGTATAAAATCAAGCATGTTCTATAGAGCTCACTCAGTTTCAGAGTGGTACTGTAGTAGGATGCCACCAATGCAACAAGTCAGTTTGGGAAGTTTCCACAGAAACTCAGACACAAAGTGACAGACCGGGTAAAGTTACAGAGTGGGGCTGCTGAGTGCTGAGCTCCAGTGCATAAAAACTGCTAACGCTCTGCTGATTCAAAAGCTGATAAGCTACAAACCCCCTTCAGCATTAAAATCAGCACAAATAACGTGGTCTAGGAGCTTCATGACATGGGTTTCCATGTTCGAGCAGCTCCTGGGGGTGTTATCACCAAACTAAAGCAGAACTTTTAGGAGAAAGTCTTTCCACTTGGCAGTCATCTTAAAACGCCCCTGGGGAGTTATCAGTAACAAGGACAAACTTTTATCTCATTGAAAAAGGAGAAAGCTACAACGTTAATCTTAATGATCAGTTATATCAAAATGCATGTATGGAACTATTGCTGATATCTGAGAAAAGTTACTGACTTTGCCACAAATAAGGTTTTAAAAGTTTTCCCGCCTTAAAGGTCACATTTTGTACTGTACGTGTGACCATTTTTTTTTTTTTTTACTATTTTACACCTTAATTTATGGCGCAGATATTATCTGTGTCTCTGGCTCATCTCAGCAGAGCACTGTAAACCTTAAGAATAAGAAAAAATGATAATTACACTCAGCTACATGTTCACTATGACATCCAGGACCCCATCCAGGGTGGCTGTAGAGCAGGCTGTAGGTAGTAGAGCAGGTCACCTACTATACAGAAGGTTGATGTTTTGATCCTCATCATCGCATTTCTAAATTTGACCGTACTGTAGGTTTATTAGCTTTTAAGCAACAGTGAGCTCATTACTGTTTACCATAAGTGAAAGCAACAAATCCACCAGTTATGTTTATTGTGTAACGTATTGAACACGTTCCCACGGTGATGGTGGACATTACATCTGATTGATAACACATGTGGTTGATCCAGGGTGTCACCATGACCGTGATGACACAGCTGTATCACCACATCCATCACATCGTGACCAGCGCCCACTCTTTGATGATGTCACAGCAAAGACAGCCAATCATGGACTAGTTCCAGCAGGAATGGCGAACCAATCAACAGCAGCTGTTTACAAGGGCATGACCTCTGCCTTCACAGATACACAATTTCAGACTTGAAACAGGTCGACTTGTGAACACACACACACACACACACACACACACACACACACACACACACACACTTTGAGAGAAGTCATCCTGCATGTACAGAGCAAGATGACAGAGTTTGGTATCAAAGCGGAGCTCATCGTTTGGTGCTAATTGTTTACATCTGCTGAACCTTTAAACACGCTGCTTGATCTCCAGCTGATAAACAAATAATCAGATATGACTCTCTGATCTGGAAGAGACTCAAGCACTCACCCTGTAAATATGGAGCTAAGAAACTGACACACAAAGGGTTCACAAAGAGGTAAAAGAACAGCCCACAGGAGATTTAAAAACACATATTCTCGTCAGAAATATAAAAAACAAGCATATACAAAGCAAATAAAATATAAGCACAAAGTTCTTTCATTCACATCTTTGTAAAGCTACAGTTTCTGTCCTTTTGAAATATCCCTAAACAAAAGACAAGTTCTTGTTTTATTCTAAGTCCAAAAAGCTGTGGTACAAATGGGCAAGTTGTGAATGTGAACTGTTTCGGTACCTTTGGCAGCCTCTCAGGGTCACCAGGGTGCCGAGGAATGACCTTCTGTAGCCTCTGGAAGCCGTAGTCGATGGTAGGTTCGTTTAACGCTGGAGAGGACAAAGAGAAACAGAAACAGAGGGAATAAGTAATATGGAAATTTCCTGAGAACAACTGGAAACACTCCATCTCCAGTGTTGACATCATGCTGCACTTGTGGGTGTAGCTGGAAAGTTTTCTGACATAAACCCATAACTCAATAACTGGGAGTTTAAATCTTTCAACTTTGCACCTGCATTGAGTGTTTATTCAGCCAATCAGTGGCTACAGAAACAAGCTGTGGACACAACTCTAAATCACTACCTGTTAAATTCATGCTGCAAGCTTGTCAGCACAAAGTGCCACTTTACACATTATATTTGTGTCCATCTAAATCCATCTTTCAGGCTAGACCTCCACCAACTCCTGCTGGATATTACAGGCTCACTCTAATATGTCCATCACTTAGCTGCTAACAGGAGGGGAAAGCACTTTATGGCTCTTTATTACCTTCAAATTTCACGACTGGATCTTACCACTACTGTACGGAGGAGGATGCTTTTTTTCAGATTTCAGGTTTTTTTTGGTGCAGGAGTCTCTTTGGAACTGATTCAACCAAGCGACAGCCAACGACCTCCATCAACCCTCACCAACAAGTCAGGGAAAACAGATTTTTATCCCTAGCTACTGGAGGCTAAAAGGGGTGCCCCAACTAGACTTTAGGCCTTAGACTTGGTTTGCTAAAAATAAAATACTCATCTGGTAAAGGCAGACCTAATTCATTTTAGCCCTCAGATAGATATTGTGGGTCTCTGTAGCTACTTGCTTCTGTATATGTTCCTGAAGGGAGTCTCAGAGACAGGTAGTATTTATCTATTTTACTCTAAATTATGTGATAGACATGCAAGTTATGTAACTCATATCTTAATATAAAAACACAGATTGCATCCTTTAAAAAGCACTTTACCACAATCCCAAAGGCTTCCTGTCACAACAACAACAACAATATTGTAGCTTCTTTACCACATTTTTTTTATAGGCTACACATGTATGATAAGATTTTCCATCAGCCTTTCACTTCTTGTTCCACCATCTGCTGTTTCTAGAAATGTCAGCTTTGCTTTTTTCCATGTGCTTTTAACCACTTTTACGGTCTGAAGCAATTTTGCTGATTTGCAGCAAAATCCCACTGGTGTCATATATTGTAAAATGTACAACTGGGGACTGGCCATGAACCTTGAGAGATAAAAACAGAGCTCACTCTCACCTCTTGCTTTAAGTCATCAGGAAGATGACTTTCCTACAAGATTTACATTTAGCAGAATATGTCTGTGTGTTTCTTGGGGGCAAAGCCAGACAATAAACTCATATTTGTGTAAATTAATGGTGATTTACGATAAACCAAAAATTCAAAGGCCTTCCCATTCATCGCCTCAACCTCCTAGTAGTTCAGCAGATAAACGATAAGTCAAAAGATGCTATCCTTTTCTCAAAAACAACAAGTTAGAGTAGCACCTTTAATGCTCTTGTTGCCGGTGTTCAGCCTGAGCGTGCATAAACAGACAGAATCACAACATCTATGGCAATCAGCACGGGGAGATCTCACTAGAGAGGAGAGAGGATGACATCTCATTTTGTGACATTTTGTTCCCAAGGAACACACTGGTATCAAGAAGCGTTTTTTGGGGGGGTTTTCTGGCAAAACTGGGTTGGAAAATAATGAACCTGCTCAGCATGAGCCAACAGAAGCCTGGAAGTTAGAGATGAGGGCTTGTGACTGAGAGGTCGGCAGTTCAAAATCGGGCTGGGAAACTGTAACTGAGAAAAATACATCTCTCAGCAACTACTGTGGATATTCTCCCGAAGCAGAACGCTGTTAAATGTTGAATGCTTGACTTCAGATTTTAAATTTATAAAACTTGAAGAAAGCCTAGCTGTTAAGAAAACGTGATGAATTAAAGCTGAATTGTGTTTCTTCAGATGCATGTAAGAGAACAAAAACAGGCCAAACAGACCTGTTTCTTTTATGCCTTTATTCTACACTCTGGGCATCACATGGGACTATAACGTCACTGAGTAGCAACATCAAATTCAAGTTTAAGATCACCGGTCACTTTATCAGACACACTAATATCAGGTATGACTCCCTTGTGTCTTCTGAACTGCTTTAAGTCTTCACGGCACAGATTTAACAAGGTGCTGGAAACATTTCTGAGAGATTTTGGTCCATATTGACATGACAGCATCAAACAGTTGCTGCAGTTTCATCCATGATTTCAATCTCCCTGTTCCATCACATCCCAAAGGTGTTTTACTGGATTGAAATCTGTTGACCGTGAATGACATTTGAGTACAGTCAACTTATTATTATATTCAAGAAACTAGTTTGAGATGTTTTGAACTTTGCAACATGGCATGCTATTGTGCAAAGAAAAAGCCATCTGAAGATGGGTACACTGTGGTCATAAAGGGATGGACATGAGGCTGTGACAATGCTCAGTTGTAATAGTGTCCCCTAAGCCTTTACATTACCACAGCTGCCATGAACAGCTAAACTTCAGCAGGTCGTCTTGACCACATCTACAATCCTTAAGGCATTAAGGTGCTTCCATGTGTTTGGCTGATCAGATATTTACTTTAATGAGCAATTGAACATATGTCCCTGATGGCAGTGAATATATTTCTGCACCACTATTTGAGACATCTACAGTTGCCTTGCATAGTTTTAGCTTTATTTATTAAGGTTTTACCTCTGCAGAGCTACATAAATATAATCTACAATAAATACATACATACCTTAAAACATAAGCATTAACTCTGGGGAGGCGGCCCAGTCTAACTGATATTACACTGCCATTATTAATGGTAGCAGACCTGATAGAGTGCAGGCGGTTAATGCAAATATGTGCAGAGATGGATAAACCTGGTGCAGTCGCTAATGGTGTCAAAAGCACTTGTATGATAATAACACTGCAGGTGTATAATCTAAAGGGTTTTAAAGAGCGTTTAGTGTTCACTTTAATGTCCCAATTACAGCCCTCTGCAGTCTTTACACAATCAATATGTCACTCAAGTAGAGACATGAAAGCTCTGTCAGTCAGGACGACGGCTTTAAAGGATTTTCTGTGTTTATTTATATGTGCTGAACATGTGTCTTCACCCCATTTTTCGACCCATGTATGCTTAAGTTGAGTTAAAGAATAAGTGTAGAAAAAAAGACAAAGACAAATGGACACATGAATGGATGCACAGTAGGTGTGGGCTGCAGAGGGTGTGTCTGCACGTGTGTGATGTCCAAGTGTGCAGCTGCAGTGATATCGGGTACTTTCCACATCCAGCACTATTAAATTAGTTGCAGCTGAATATCTTGTGTTGTTTTCTAGTTTCTGTGTGTGTGTGTGTGTGTTTTAGATATATGTCTGTTTTATTATCACATCACACCCAAGTTTCTGGTTTCTGTTATGTCCTGAACCGCAATTTGTTAGCAAGATAACTTCATAAATTGCAGAGCTATAAAAACACCAGATGTTAAACTGTCATGGACAGTACTTCTCCCTGTTCCAAGGAAAGTTTTTGGACAAATTATGATTTTTAAGATCCACATATGATAATTATGTGAACATGATGGAGTGGTCTGGAAGGAAGTAGGTCAAGGAGGAGCAGAAGAGCGAGAAGAAATGAAAGCAGAAAAGAATAGAATCAGGTGAGAGGTGGCGAAAGGAGTGAAGAGAGCTTGTGTTCAAGCAATAAAAACAGACAAAGCCGAAAACTAAACTTAGTCATAGTTGAGAAAAACAAAAATTAGAAAAACAGCTGCCTAACAGTCAGCGGGATATCAACTGCCAAAATTAACTGCCAGTGTCAGATCCACGCTCCCTGTACATCTCTAGAGACGATGCCAACTGTAATATCACACACACACACACGCACACACACACATTCATGTACAAATATACAAAAGCATGACTTTGAGCGGTTTCAGTACCTTAGGCCTCAAGTATCTCCAACTGACTCTTTATTAATAGAACTAAATGTTTTTTTAAAGTGGGAATGTTTGCGTATTTATGGATTCATGTATCTCTGTAGTTACATGTACAGTTTGTGTGAATTTTGAAGCAAAAAGTTCAGGTTTGCCAAAAGATTTAGCAGTTTCTTAACGCACAGAAGCAACAACATCACCCAACAGAACTCCCTCCAGTAGTTACACATCAGCTATAAAAGGCATTAGTAGTATCAGATTAGGTTCACTTACCATAGAAATGCTGACAACTACAATCAGTTGAGGGGTCTCCAGATGCCAGTTTTGACATAAGGACATAGAGTACAGTGGTGTGAAAAAGTATTTGCCTCCTTCGTGGCTTCTTAGTTTTTTGCATATTTTTCACACTTACTGGGTAACTGGGTAAATGCAAAATGAAGTTTTTAAATGATGATTTCACTTATTAAGGGAAAAAAAGTTATCCAAGCTTACCTGTCCCTGTGTGAAAACATAACTGCCCCTTAAGGCTATTAATTGGTTGTGCCAACCTTAGCAGCAAGAACTGCAATCAAGTGTTTGCAAAAACTGGCAATGAGTGTTTCAAGTTGCTGTGGAGGGGTTTTGGCCCGCTCTTCTTAACAGAATTGTTTTAATTCATCCACACTCAAAGATATCCGAGTAGGAATGACCTGTTTAAGGTCAGACCACAGCACTGGATTTAAGTCCAGGCTTTGACTAAGCCACTCCAGAACCTTTATTTTGTTTTTTGAGGTGTTCAGAGGCAGACTTGCTGGTGGGTATCAGATTATTGTCCTGCTGTGTAATGTAAGTGTGTTTCAGTTTAAGGGCAAGAACTGATGGCCAGACATTCGACCTTCAGGGTTTTCTGGTAGAGCAGAATTCATGGTTCCATCTTTTATGGCAAGTCTTCTACACCCTGAAGCAGTAAAGCAGCCCTAGACCATAGCACTACCACCACCATGTTTGGTGATTGCTATGATGTTCTTTTCACTTCCAAAAAGTTTAACCTTTGTCTCGTCAGTCCACAGAATATTCTCCCCAAAGTCATCATCCAGATGTCTCCAGATGTCTTTGACAAAATGTGACAAGCTGTTTTCTCCTCAGAACTCTCCAATGGATGCCATTATTGTTCAGTCTCTTTCTTATTGTTGAATCATGAACTCTGACCTTAACTTAGGGAAGTGAGACCTGCAGGTCTTTAGATGTTTTTTTAGGTTCTTTTGTGACCTCCTGGATAAGTTGTTGATGCGCTCTTGGAGTAACTCCTGGGAAGTTTCATCGTTCCAAGTTTTCTCCATTTGTGGATAATGGCTCTGACTGGAGTCCCAAAGACTTAGAACTCGCTTGTAACCCTTTCCAGACTAATACATGCCACTGACTTTGTTTCTCAGTTGTTTCTTTACATTGTTGCATGATGTGTTGGTCTTTGAGAGGAGATCACCTTTCGGCGCTTTTCCCTTTCTGCTTGGTTTATTATTTGTGTAATGTTCAAATTTGTCAACAATATCTGAAAATGTGATAAATATGCAAAAAGGAATCAGGAAGGGGGCAAATACATTTCATAGCACCGTGTTAATCCAATGATATGAGTTGTGTCAATGATGAGTCTAAAAAAAGATAAACAGCTTCAAGACGGTGGACGATTTGGTGACACTGAAGCTTGAACCTGTTTCATCTCGACAAATCCTGCCACCCTTCTGCCTGTGAAATCATCACTGCATGACTCCCCCCTCTCCCCTCCTCCTACTCTCTTCCGCTTCATCTCCTTCCTTTTTTCTTAACTACACCTTCTGCCACTTTTATCCGTCCATCCATTCTTCCACCGCCCCTCCATCCTCCAGCCTAGTTCTTCCTCCAGAGTCCAGAGCTGCCATCAGATCAATACTCATTGAAGTTTCATGAGGACAGGCCATCCACTCCTGTTTCACAATAAAATGTGAACAGAGGAGGGAGACAGAAGAGAAGACGTGGGGGTGGTGGGAAAGAGTGCAGCAAGCTGTATGTCTAGGATTTCTCATGTGCATTTATTGTAAAATGGCGATGTTTTTCTAGTTATCTTTGGGTGGTGTTGAAACAAAAGAATGTGCAGAAAGAGGAAAAACAATGGGGTAAAAGAGCAGGAGGGGAGGGAAGCGAGTGAAATTGGGTGGGTGAAAGGACAGAGGGGACTGATGTAAAAGGAGAAAAAGAAGAAGAAAAGGAGGAGGAGAAGAGGAGGTGTGGTGATATTGATTCTCTGGCCAGCCAGCAGTTCAATACCACTGAATTATTGCTTCATTCTTCTCCTTATGAGATGAGATCTCTTTCTCCCAAGCTCGTCTTCTCTCTGTGACTTTCCGTGTGTTTGTATATGTGTCTATGTACGATGAGTGTATCTGCATGTGTGTATCAGTATATGTGATCCACTTATGAGTGGATCAATACTTTACAATCTGGTTTTAAAAATCCACCTTTCTTCCTATGCATCTCCAGCTTTCTGTTTTTAATCTCTCTATTTCTCACTTCTCCCGTCTCCAAGCAAGGTTGTTTGGAAAAGTGAAGAAAAAAGGTGTAAAATTGTCACCATTTTTCAAATTTCTCTAAAAGTTTCTGAGCTTTCTGAGTTTTTTTTATTCAGCTGTTGATAATAAATCAGCTCTTTATACGAGTGTGTGTCCACACATGCGTTCATAATGCCAGCATTTATTGATTGTCACTTTGTACCTTTGTGTGTTTATAGTTTATGGTGTGTGATGTCGAGAATGTTAATTTTTCCCATCGGGCAGATGAGGCAGCCATACGGCACCATGTGTGCATGTAGGGTGTGTATGTGTGTGTTTGTATGTGTGTGCGCGTGTTTGTATGTGTGTGTGTGTGTGTGTGTGTGTGTGTGTGTATACATATGTGGTAGACCATCTGTTTACCAGACTAGTCACCATCTTTCCCTCATATCACTCTGATTTACAATTACTTTAAACTCCTGCCCCTGTTTGAAAGTGTGTGTGGTAAGTTGTGTAAGACATGACCCCATGTAAGTGTGGCTTTGCGTGCGTTTTTACGTGTGGTGTGTGCGTGCGCGTTTTTTTGCACATGTGTGCTCGTGAGTATGTTTAATTGCGCAGCCCTTACACCCAGAGGCAACCACAGCTTAAGCGCTGAAAAACCACCACAGCCAATCAGCTTTCACCACCCTGACCTTTCACCAGTGACTTCTAGCAAGGAGTCAACCTCGAGGCGGGATCAGGCAACCGCACTAACGGATCGCGTTTCCTGGGTCACATGTTGAAGCCATTAGCCAATCGCAAGGTCACGAGTGGGTCATCTGCACCCAATAGGAGCAGCAGTTAGATGCCAGACGGACCAATTACCAGCCGGCTAGCCTCAGGGTCACAAAGATGTTGCGTCTGAAGAACACTGAAGCAAGCTGGAGATCTTTTACAAAGGAACTACCTTTAAAAGAAACTCACATCGCCTGACATTTTACTCCTCAAAATTTTGTACAGCCATCATCTAACAAAATCCTGATTGTGGGTCTGCCATTTAAGCTTATAATTACTGCTTTTTTTTTGTGGTGATAGCTGCGATTTCTGGAAAACGTCCAACACAGAAGCCCATTTTTCTTAAATTGTACAATCCCGACTGGTCTAAAGCAGTGAAGTGCTTGCATTTGTCCTTTCTTTTTCAGTTACTTCCCTAATACTGTTCTTCCTCTATGACTTTTTGTTGGGCATTATCATGGAATACACATCGAGCTTAATTTAATCAAATAAAGCACGCAAAGCTAAAATGCAGACTTCATCACTTTCTTCTCACCTCTTGAGCAGGAAATATTAGAGATTTTATGTACTTGTCCCCAAGAGTAAAACTCACATTTATTCATTGTAAGTTTTTTTTCCATCTTCATTGATCATGTTTAAATCCTCTTGTAATGTTGGCGTCATTAAATGTCTCAAGACTCCAAGAATTTCTATGGCAGCTACAATCCCCCCCCCCTTGTCTGTGAATCTGTGAATGACGTCATCGTTATGGTGTGATGGAGCCATGTTGAGCGGATCAATACCAGACATCACATCACCTCCATCCATTTCCACATGTATGTGCAAAATAACACACACACGCATGCTTTCTCTCCTTTTCCTGCACTACTCCGTGTAGCAGGAAAATGCTCACTCAAAGTCAACAGTCCGGTCAGAAACGTGTGTGTTTGTGTGTGTGCGTTTAATGTGCGTTAGTAAACTGGGTGTTCTGGATGATTTCACTAATAGTTTCAGTATGGAGGGCTATAAAGAGCAGACTGTTTAATTGTAGCTGGTTTTAACGAGCCTCTGATTATGGCAACATTCTAACGAGTGTGGGTCGTTAATGTTGACTAATCTACAGTCATTAGTTCAACACTGTCTGGCCTGAGAGTGAACTACAACTCATAGATGTTATTCACACACACACACATGCACATTCAGACACAGTCTCTCTCCAACATGTACAAACACACAAATGCACATACAAAAGCTTATATATGCAAACACACCTTTTCACTAACCTACAATGACAAATTAGACAGTTTTCATATCAGAAGAAGAAAAACATATTTTAATTAAGACAATACAGTAAATTGTATGTGTGTGTAACTGTGTTCTTTGAACCTACCTGTGTATATGAACCTCCCTGGTGTGCCTTTGCAGAACTGTTTAGACTTGTAAGACAGAGTGACCTCTACAACCCCAGGGATGTGTCTGGGAGGCGTCTGCACCCGGATGGCATGTGGTGTAATCAGCTAGAAAAGCAAGGAACAGAGTACCAAGAGTCAAATCACCCGAAGAATCAAGAAGAATGAAGTATTAAACATCGGGACAACACAGCATCTTTAGTTCTTAATGTTGTGCAGCTAGGTTTTCTCTATTCATGAAAAATATCTCCACTGATAAAAAAAAAAGAAAAAGATGTTTCCTTTAAATCTAGTAATTCAGTCGCAGATTTAAATAAACCTGCATACTGAAGCTTTGCTCTAAACTTTATTTTAGTTGTTGGGTTGGAGATTGATCGCTTGTTAATGATGTGAAATTGATCTCTAGCTGACCTGGTTTTATATTTGAATTTAATGCATTTTTGCATTAGTCTGAATTTGAAGGTGGCATTTGGAGCAAAACCACTGATTCCTTTTTTCATTATTAGCTAAGATTTAAAATGAGTCATAGAGTCGTCATCAGCAAGTGTGAGCACCTCTATAAAAGCAGAGGTTTTGGCAGGTTTACTGGTCCGGAGCGTTCAGGTGTGTGTTAACACAATGCCACAATCTTGCCAGGAGTGGTCTCAGCAAAGTCACCCCAAGGTCAGACCATGCAATGCTTGGGAAATTGTGAAAGTGCGCCCAAGACTCTTCAGCCCTCAGTTAGCATGTTAAATGTTGAAGTTCACAACAACATGATCAGAAAAACACACAGAAAAAGAAATAAAAAGTGTGGCTTGTTTGCCTCTTTCTAAAAGCCTCTGTCTAAAAAGAACATGGCAACATGGCTTAGGTTTACAAAGTTGCATCTGAACAAACCACAAGACTTCTGGAACAATGTCCCTTAGACCGACAAGACCATAATGGAGATGTTTGGCCATAATGCAGAAATACCAACTGTCAAACACAGTAGTGCAGGGGTGATGACTTGGGCTTTTCTTGCAGCCACAGGACCTGGACACCTTACAATCATTGAGTCAACCACGAACTCCTCTGTATACCAAACGTTCTAGAGCAGCGGTCCCCAATCCCCAGGCCTCGGACCAGTACCGGTCCGTGAGTCGTTTGGTACCGGGCCGCGAGAGTTGAGGCTCAGGTGTGAAATGTATGGTTTTCAGGGTTTTTATCGGTTTTCAGCGTTATTTTGTTATCGTTTTTATCGTTAACTCGGTTTTCCTGGGTCTTTTCACGTGTGTTATGAATAAATGTTCTTTTTTCGGTACCGGTACTAGTTTTATTTTGTTGTATTTATCCGCGACACCTTAAAGGCCGGTCCGTGAAAATATTGTCGGGCATAAACCGGTCCGTGGCGCAAAAAAGGTTGGGGACCGCTGTTCTAGAGTAAGATGTGGGGACATTCGTCCAACAGCTAAGTTTTGGCCCAGTTGGGTCATGTAACAGAACAATGATGGGGGTGGCAAAATGGTGCATTAGTTAGCACCCTCACTTCACAGCAAGAAAGGCTTGGATTTGAATGCACATGATGTGGCCTTTCCATGTGGAGTTTGCATACTCTGGGTTTTCCCACAGTCCAAAGACATGCATGTTACATAAACGGGTGATTCTAAACCAGGGGTGGGCAATTCCAGGCCTCGAAGGCCGGTGTCCTGCAGGTTTTAGATCTCACCTTGGGTGAACACACCTGAATCACATGATTAGTTTGCTACCAGGCCTCTGGAGCACTTCAGGACATGTCGAGGAGCTAATTTAGCCATTTAAATCAGCTGTGTTGGTTCAAGGACACATCTAAAACCTGCAGGGACACCGGCCCTCGAGGCCTGGAGTTGCCCACCCCTGTTCTAAACCGTCCGTAGCTGTGAATGTGAGTGTGATTTATTGCCTGTCTCTTTGTGTATAGCTTGTGGTAGACTGGCGACCTGTCCAAGGTGTAACCCACCTATCGCCCACTGACAGCTGGGATCTGTTCCAGTAGAAGACGATGGACAGAACAACGGTGCTGAAATGGCCCTAGTCAAAGTGCAGACCTCAACTCGGTTCAAATGCTGTGGCGAGACCTTAATGGAGCTGTGACATGAACTAATTGTGGTAAACCTCAATAAATGACGATGACAGAATTGCTCCACAATGATGACAGTATGTTACTTGACTTAGTTTGAAATGGACCACAAGTTTAGGGTAAATAAAAAGAAAATAGAAATGAACTAAATCCTGATCTCCCAGCATCTCTGTTTATACCAGGAGGAAGATAAATCATTGTTTTTGAGCCATATTCGAGACACACTTGAACCAGTTATAACATATTTATGGATGATTTTCAAAATATCTGTTAAGGGTTTTGAAAAAAAAAGTAGACAGGATGGAGAGATACAGACAAACCCCACTTGGCAAACATGTAATGACTTTCCACCGATGGACCTTTTTCAAACTGTGTTTTCTTGCTTCGAAATCAATAATCAGGTTGAGTGCAAATGAAGCATTTGCTTGGCTAAAATCCATTCGAAGGATGGAATGAGGAACGCCAAGAGAGCTGAGTCAGTTTGAACTGAACTGAGACTCTGTACACATGTTAGTGAGTGTAAGTGTGGCTCTCAACACTGTAAACAAACCCCTCAGCTCTTAACACAGACACACAAACACCCATCCATGTTTGCCAGTGTGTGTGTACACACACACACACACACACACACACACACACACACACACACACACACACACACACACACACACACACACACACACAGAAACACTGTCGCTGTTGTTGTTGGAAAAGAGCCACGGTCGCTCGGCACACACGGTGAGTGGAGTCAGAAGACAAATAAACATTCAGTCGAGGAGTGGAGCTGGGGAAAAGTATGATAGCGAGCTGTATGTGTGTGTGTGAGAGAGAGGGAGTGTTTTTGTGAGCATTAAGCTGATGGCTATCAAAATCTGCTGATTTGATCAGTATTCCGGAGAGACAGAGACAGAGGGAGTGTGGGTGAGGAAGGTAGTGAGGGGCGGTGGTCGCTCGTTGGTGGGGACTCATTAGAGAGCCAAACCTCATTTAGACAAACATTAACACACATACACACACACGTACACACAAACATGCACTTGATCACGCACAGTTAAGAGCCTGACCATGACGAAAAGTGTGTTTTCATATTGAATTACTTCCAAAGCTCCGAAGGCAAAAACACACAGTTGAGGGGTTGAAACAACACTGGGGCAGGACGGCTGGTAAACTGACCTCGCTCCAAACCAGCATGGTACCGAAGATTACTTGGAGACCGTCGAAGAAATTGTCTCCTATGATGATGACAGTAGCACCTCCCGTAGTCCAGCCCTCACTGGGACTAATAGCTTTAATGCAGGGCGCTGCTCCTGGAGCATATAGATGAGAGCATGAATAGATCCATGAGTAAAAGGGTGAAAAAAAAAGAATTAGGTACTTTTGGTATTTAACATGCATCTACAATAAACTGCAGCTGAAAAAGACATGAAATATTAACTATATTACTATTGTAAAAAAACACAAATCAGTCTGCAAACTGGAGGGGAAATCTGGCTTGAAGCGTTTTCATCCCTGTTGCATCTGCACCTCATAATTCATCCTGCTGCACCCGCGGATTCTGGCTGTGTTCCAGATCATCACACTTATTCACTGAAAACACTGCAGATTCAAAGACTGAGTCCTTTTTCAATGGGTCCTTGTGCAAAAAAGAAGTGTTTCCCCTTGTAAATAATTCTGCTGAGTAAAATGATAAACACAGGAAACGAGTGCTGAAGTATCAAGTAAAGTCTTTGGGTTCTCTTCACTTCAGTTTCAACCATTATTTATGTTTCTGAGAAGTGTTTGAGTGGGAAAGAATAGACTGTCATAATAATAGAATTTAACCAAAATTTTAAAAGAAATCACTGAAAGCTCTGAACCAACAGCAGTTAGTTTACTATTTACTCCTGGTAAAAAAGAGATTTATTTAAATGACTCGTACAAAAAACCCCAAAAACAGAAGCTCACTTCTTGTTTCACTGTGTAATTTTCCATTATCGTTGATTGAAGGTAGTTTAAAAGCATCATTTGGACGCAATCTGTATTGGTGTGTTTACAGTTTGTTGATCCCAAAGCTTGACTGGCACGAGATTAGGACAGTTCATTTCTGAAACTAATGATCTTACATGGATAAAAGCACACACAGACGGTTTGGTGTGCATCACATGACTTCAAACATAATGGATACAGTCAGCTTATGTCACTTCAATATGACAGAGTATTGTGTGTTTAAGCTCATGTGATCTAATCCTATATCATAACAACAAAAACCCGTCTGTCAAAAACCAGCTCTCATCTCAGTGTAAGTGTTTGTGTGTGATTATCAGTATGCAGCTGAATTACAACAACACCCCTTAGTCTGGGTTTGAGTATGAAAAAAAGCATAATGATATTAGACCGATACACACACACTGACACACACAGAAAGCACCACACCATGCAATGTGTGTGTGTAGTGAGTTGGATTAGCCAGATGGAGGGGCAGGAATCACCTGATAGGATTAAACCATCAACCATCTGGTGGCCATGCTGCTTATGCTCTCAGACACACACACACACACGTGCTTGCATGCATGCACACACACTCCTTACCGTGTTCTAGGTAAGACGGCGTCCCCTCCACAGGATCGAGCCTGCGGGCCCGTCGACCGTGTTTGGAGTTGTTGTGAACGAACATGTTGTCAGAGACCGACAGGACGTGTCCCTCCACGCTCACTGTCGTTGATACGACCACCTGGAGAGAGGTAAGGGGGTGAGTGGCAGAGAGAGTTGGGTGGACAATTGAGAAAATAAGGTGATTAACGAGGAGAGGATTGGGGAACAAGGTGGAAAAGGTGGACATAAAAAATGGGTAGGGGTGGGAGGGGGGAACGGGGAAAGAGAAAGAAAAGAAAAAGAAAAAAGAAAAGAAAAAATGAGGAATTATAAAGTCGGGGGTCGAGGGATCATCGCAGGGAAGAGTTAAAAGCATGAAACTGTGAAAAGCTCTTTAAATGTAACCTGTTATCACTGCTATTACCAGCACCCTCAACACACACTAAGTCACTGTACACTCTGTGTGTGTGTGTGTCCTCCTCTGTCCAATAGTTCCTGATGGGTCCGGCCCTTAATTATCTCCCAGGGAAACAGAGCTGTCTTTTCTGGTTCCACTACAATAGAGCTGCACAATTAGAGGCACAGATACCGTCACACACTTGGTGCTGGATGACTCTCTCCATCCCATCTCACTCTCACACACACAAGTCTGTACACAAGAGAGCACGCCACGCCAGAAAGACACACACACACACACACACACACACACACACACACATGTGCCACGGTAATAAATCTATCAGTATCTCCTGGGCGTCCAGTTTCTCTATTCATGCTCAAGTGGTGTCTTCCTGATTGTGTTGTGGCCTTTAGATAAGGAAATAATACTGAGTGCACTGCCTGAAATCTTATTCACGACCTTCTTTCTTTCTCTCTTGATACAGTGTCACAGGCAATGCATTTGCGTGCTGTGTCTCTGTCACTCGTGGTCCCTCAGGTTTGCAGTATGCCGATGCATACTGGGAACGTTAGACTGATAATAAAAATGGGATTTTTCAGTTGCTTCTTCCATATTCTATTTATACGCCCATTTTTCTCACTGCTTACCCAGCTTATGGTCCTGGTCAGCTGGAGCTATCCCAGCTGACACAGGGTGAGAGGCGGGGGACACCCTGGACCCCCATCTCTGTCCCAGCCTCACCTGTCAGACTGCATAATCTCTTTCTTTTTGGTTGCCATGATTTTTTTTTTAGCATCTTTCTTTTATCATTGTCACGGACCCGGTTCCGGGGACTCGGGGTCCGTGAACAGTGTGGAACATTATTGTTATTGTTATTGTTGTTGTTATTATTGATTGG